TAAACCTACAGATAGATACACCTTCACCAGGTTCTTACCGTAACCAACAGAAAGGCTTTGGTCAAGGCGAAGGCAGTCAACCAACTCACAAGTACACAGAGGCCGGAGACCACCCCTCGCGCCTTCAGGGGAAGGACCTCTGCCATCAACAACCACGTAATGGGACCCCAACCCATGGCGTAGCCTGGAAGAAGAAGAAGAACCATTGAATCATTAGAAGCAAAGGGAAAATTAAGGTGGTCCTTGACTTTAAATGATTTGTTTGAAGTTTTGGATCTCATCTCCTATCAGATCCATGTACCAAAAGCAATAAATTTGGGGACTGATTGTCCCAAAAACCTTATCTAGGCCAATTCTGACCATATATGTCTCCTGGCCACCTCCCATAACCCTCCAGAGAAGCGCCAGAGATTTGACCTGGAGTCCAAAAGTTGGCCCTCAACTCTTCTCGACCTACCTATGATGAAGAACATGGTGGCCACCAAAGGGATCGCGGTGAGGCCCACCATGGAGGGGTCGCCGAGGCCCCCGTGGGTCCCATTCGCCGCCACCGCTGACGAATTGTGGAGAAGTTGAGGGATGAAGCGGATGTAGACGCCCAACGTGAGGTTTGAGGCGAGCATCAGGCAAGCTACGGTCGCGGCAAAGAGAGAGAAGGAAACACATCTTGAAGCCGACGCGGGAATCCCACTTGCGGCATGGTTATTCCTGAATTATCCACCCTCCCCTCGCCCGCACAGGCAGTCCTCAACTTATAACCATTTGCTTAGCGACTCTTTCAAGTTACATTGAAAAAACAATGTGATTCTCAAACAATCCTCGCTGTTACGACGGCTGGAGGATTCCCCACAATCACATGATTAAAATTTGGGTGCATTGATGACGGTCGCGGCGTCCTGGGTGTGTGTGTGTGTGAGAGAGAGACGCGATCCCCGTTTGCCTACTTCCAACAAACGAAGCCAGATTTGCTTAACGACCATGTGATCTGCAGTGATTTGCTTAGTGACTGTGGCAAAAGGGTCGCAAAATTGGGCCCTCAGCACTGAACGTGCTTAGCAATGAAAATTCTGTCCCCACTGTGGTCGTTAAGTCAAGGGTTGCCTGTATAGAGGCAGACGTGTGTCCACCCATCTGTGTGTATGTGTGTGTGTGTGTGTGTAAAAGGAAGGACTACAAAACCCATACCAGAGACATACAGAAGAACCTTCCGCCCAGCTTTATCCATCGAAAAAGCCGCAACCAGCACCGAGGCTAAGCGAACGCCGCCCACAATAACGGCGTCATACTCCGGGGCCTGCGAAAGTCAAAATAATTGCTGTGAGCTGTCGATCAAATTGGTTGATTCTTTCGTCATTCGCGATGTGATTTTTTTTATTATTTATGAGTGTTTCTCCTTTCTTTGCATCGAGTTTCCTCCCACCTGATTGAGGGATACAAAAACCCTCTAAAAACCTGCTCCTTTTAATGGCTGCCAGAAAAAAAAAATGACAATAAAGGTGATCTCATCTATATTCGGGAAAGCGTCACCTGCTCTGAAAGAGACTTTATTTCTGCAAGTTTTGACCTTTTTTTTTTTTAAAGAAAGATATAGAGGTATCCTTCAGTTGGAAAGCGTGCCTCTGTAAATCTGAATAAAAAGAGGAAAAAAATAAGAAAGGATATGGCAGAGAGATTGAGATGAGGAAGAGATGGGATTTGAGGCATTCAAATATTATGGGAAAATGGATTTTTTTTTTTTGCGTTTTGGGGTCAATCTTGAATACGGAATGTGGAACGGCAACACCTTGTTTGTTTTAGATAGAAAAAGATCATGGATGCTCCAACCTTGGCAACTTTTAACAACTATGGACTTGAACTCCCAGAATCCCCTAGCCAATCATGCTGGCTAGGGAATTCTGGGAGTTGAAGTCCACAAGTCTTAAAATTGCCAAGGTTGTGGAGGCCTCCCGCTCTGCAGGTTGACTTACCAGGATGACCTCCGTGCTGTCAAATATCAGCTGCAGATAAACCAGGATTGGGGTAACCCCCGAAAGCTGCTGCAGGAACCTCATCAGCAAAGTAATTACGATAGGCTTGAAGATGTGAGGTTTGCGGATTTCTGCCCAAGTAATGGGTTGATTCTGGAGAAAGACAGAAAGACAAATGGAGGAGAATATCCGGAGCTCGGGGTTGGCATCTGGGCTATTTTATTATTATTAATTTTTTTGGCAGATGTTTCATTACCCAACTAGGTAGCATCATCAGTGCTAGAAGGGAAGGGGGCTTGCAAAGGGGAGGAGGAGGAGGACTGTGGGGTCCTGGGTGCTCTCTGAGCTTGGTGATTTTCTTGGGGACATTTCATGACCCAGCTAGGTAACATCATCAGTGCTAGAAAAGAATCCATTGCAGCGCTACTACACAGTACACCTGACCTAATCAAATACACTAAGATTGAAATATCCAGAACCATGGACCCCACAACCTCTGCCTTACCACCTATGTTCAATTTGACGGACAAAACCTAGCGCTGATGATGTTACCTAACTGGGTCATGAAACGCCTGCAAGAAAACAGCCAAGCTCAGAGAGCACCAAGGACCCCACAATCCTCCTCCTCCTCCTCCACTCAACAGACCCCACTCCCATCTAGCACTGATGATGTTACCTAGCTGGATCATGAAACCTCTTCAAGAAAACCACCAAGCTCAGAGGTACTGTATGTAAACAGGAAGCAAGTTACACTTACTAGCACTGATGATGTTCCCTAGTTGGGTCATGAAACGTCTGCAAGAAAACCACCCAGCTCAGAGAGCACCAAGGACCCCACAGTTCTCCTCCTCCTCCTCCTCCTCCACTCAACAGACCCCACTCCCTTCTACCACTGATGATGTTACCTAGCTGGGTCATGAAACGTCTGCAAGAAAACCACCCAGCTCAGAGACCACCAAGGACCCCACAGCTAACAGGGTCTGAATAAGTGCAAGTTGTACCATCTCTGGGGCTTTTACACTCTCATCTTTGTGGTAGGGAGGACAAAGGGACTTTACATACTTTTACCTGCCAGCAAATAACCAACGAGGACCCCACAAATGGCCAGACTGAACCACTTCCCACTCCACGAGGAAGTTCTAAAACCCACAAAGACGTTTCTAGAAACCTTTTCAAGAGCTGAGAACTAACCAGGGGGAAGCAAATCAAGGTCTCCACTTCCATATGTCTGTTAACCCCCGGCCCTCTTCTCTTGAACATGGACCTACCTGTTCCTGAACGCTGGCTTTGATCTGCTCGTATTCCCACCAATAATCCACGTCTTCGCCTCTCAGCCACCGGAGAGCACCCAGGGCCTCGTCTTCCTTCCCCTTGGAAATCAGGAAACGGGGCGAGTCGGGCATGAAGATGAGGAGAGACATCATGAGAAGGACAGGGACTTCTCCAGCAACCGCCAGCCAACGCCAGGGCACCAGGAGACCTGTGGGGGGGAGGAGGAGGAGGAGAAGACAAAACTAAGGGAGATCAGTGTTAGTTCCACCAGGGAGAGCAGTCCACGAATTCAACTCCACAGGAAACGGCCGGTGGAAACGGTGGCTTACTACTTGCCTAAAGCATAAAGGAAGAGGGCGCCCAAAACAGCCATGATTTGAGGACAGGAGCCCAACGCCCCCCGGATTCCTGGGTGGGAGATCTCGGAAATGTAGACCTGGAGAAGGCGAAAAGATGAAAAAGGTAAGTGGGAACCAAGGCCTCTAGGAGCCAGAGCTTGTACTCACTGCCTTTCTGCAGTTGGGTAGGAAAAAGCCGATATTTACAGAAGGATAGAAAGGGGGAAATCCTGGGAAGGAAGGAAGGAAGGAAGGGAGGGAGGGAGGGAGGGAGGGAGGAAGGGAGGGAGGATGAAG